ATGCGTCGCGTGTATGTTGTGCAGCGATCAGCTGAGTGCCACGTCTAAGCGCTCGCGGCGAGATCCGCCGTGTGCCGCCCCTGCCTGCCTCTTGTACTCGGCCCGTCATTCGTTAACTATTTCTTTTAATAATTCAAAAACTAAGCTTCGGAGAAAATTTTGGTAAGAGAAAAATCGTCTTAGAATTTAATCAGGAATTCGACATTTCAGGGACACTACACCTATTCTGAATCACCCTTATATCCAAGAAACTCGATTTTCTTTTTCAGGAATTGACTTTTAGCGTAGTTAATCTCAAAACGATATTTTTTCAAAATTGTTAACACTTCCTCAAGGATCTCTAAATTTTGTTCAATAGTTTTTGATGATATTAGAATGTCATCAATGTAGACAATAACTTTATCCTCTCTGATCAGTGAATTAAGTATGTGGACAATTCGTTTTTGAAATTCCGCGGGGGCCTCACAATACCCAAACGGTAGTTTCTTAAACTCAAATTGCCCATCGGGCGTCGCGAACGAGAAATACTTGGTGCTATCTTCTGCCACCTTAATTTGATGAAAGCCGTCTTTCATATCCAGTAACGTGAAATATTTCTTATTGCTTAATTTTGATAGGCAGTCCTCGATTATTGGAAAAGGATATTTTTGTTTTTCAATCCTGGCGTTTAACGGCCTGAGGTCTATGCACATTCGGATCTGACCCGTTCGTTTCTTTACCGGAACTATCCTTGCACAGTACGGAGAGATACTTCGCTGAATTATATCTCTTTGCAATAAGTCATCGGTGATCTTTCGTATTTCGTTTCGCTCAGCTAACGCGACCCTTCTCGGGGGATACGCGTATGTCGAATTGTTTTTGACATTGACTTTAACCGAATACCCGTCGTCTACCTGTTCTAACTGTTTGCTTTCTGTTTCTAGGACAAGGAGCTTCAAGTGTTTCTCTGACTCCGGATCGACCTCCGTTTTTATATTTTCGACCGCTACTTACAGACTGTTCTTTGTCTGCCTTTCGTCAACATAACACGGAAGGCAGGCAAGGAGATTTACAGCTTCTGGTATGTTCCCGGTCGAAGGTGAATATACCAAGTTGAGTGTTTCCTTCGAAAGAAACTCCCTTCCCAAGATCAAATCGGCCTCTAACGGCTCCCCGTTCAAAATATAGAGATCGATTTGAAACTTCCTGTCTCTTAATAATTCTAACTGAATCTCCGATTTAACAATACCTACTACTTCTAACGGACAATTATTTAGACTCAAAAATTTTCTTTCCGACGCCCTAACCGAATGCGTCGCAGCTCCAATAAAATTCTCAAATGTACTTTTTCTTATAAAAGAAACGGGACTCCCTGTATCCACAAGAGCTAATAACTCGTAAAGTTTGCCATTTACGCTGCTAATTTTCACATATGGTTTTTCTAATTTTAGGTGGGTACTTGCGCTCTGGATCGTCGCCACCGATTCGTCCTCCGGCTGTTTGGCTGCTACCGTGGCTGCTATCTGCGAAGTCGCTGGCTTCTGGGCTGCTCCGCTTTTGCCATCCTTTGACTTCAGCTTCGGGCAGTCGAAGGATGGGTCATCGAAACTTCGATGACCCACTGCCTTGCAGTAGAAGCAGGTGATTTCCGCTTTGCACTCCTTGGTACTGTGTCCCTTTTTCCCACAGTTCCTGCACGGATGATCCTTGGATTTGGCGATCGGTCCCGACGACGCCGGCTTCCTCTCCGTCTCCACCACTCCTTCCGCGATGGTCCTCATCCGCTCGAGGAAACAATTTAGCGGCTCCGTCACTATTGAGAGTGCCGTCGCCTTGACGGCGGTATTCGTTATGCCGCCAATTAGCAACTGGATGCTGTCCGCCTCCGGCAAGTTGAGCACTTGTATGAGCGCCAACTTCTCGATCGCGTAGCGATCGAATGACTCCTTATGGGATTGCCACTTCCGCGCCTCGATTCTCTGCATCGACTTGTAGAAGGGTATCTTCCGGTCGAACATCTTCAATATTTCCTGGCGCAGTCCAACCCAGGACTCTATGGCGGCTCCCGTCTGGAGCTCGTACCATCGTCGAGCCGACTTGGTCAACCTACTCGAGGCTGCCAAGAGCGTTACTCCGTCCGACGCTCCGTGGACTTCGGCGATCTTCTCGACTCGTCTCGTCCACGCTTGGACGTTATCTTCCTCCCCGCCGGCGAACTCCGGTATCTGGGTCGCCAGGCAGCTCACCATGCTTCCTGGTGGCGGGCCGTCTCCGGCACTTCGAGCCCCCCTCGTGCTGCTTATTGGAGTCGTCCCTAACGCAATCTGCGCGGCTTCCGGTGGTCCGTTCCCGTCGGCGTTCCACTCCTGTTATTCACCGCGAGTTGCAGCAATCTTTCAAACTGTTTCTGCTGTCTTTTCTCAGCTTGCTCCTGCCGCTGATGAGCCATCCTCTGCTGCTCCAACATCCCTTGCATGGATATCAGGACCTGATGAAGCAGAGCCGCGGATGCCTGTTCTGAAGAGCCTGCCGAGCCCTTCCTCTGCTTGCTCGCCGCCGCTGCTCTCGCCGCTTCTTCCTGCACGTTATGCTGCCCCTTCTGTTCAAGGTGCCTCATGATGTTTTGTATGATTTTCTCACGATCATCCGTAACGGACAAACCGTATTTCTGAGCTTCTTCTTTCAGCTTTTCTAGCGAATATGCTTCAAATTTGGATTTCTCCATTGCTAGAATAGCACGAGTCTTCACCATACGGCCTACACTTCTCTCAGCCCTCTGCTAGGCGGGTAGTGGGTGGGGTCCGAAGTTGTAAATCGTTCCCCAAGGAAAAGGATATTGTAGGATGGGATTTGATGAGTGGATAACCGGGCGAGAGAAATAACTTGTAACACCGATTTTAATTGAAAAGACACCACTGTATATATATCTGAATAAACTATAAGTATAAAGAACAAAAGACCGAAACCGACTCTCGAGACTAGAACTTTTCTACGTCTGTTCTTAGCCCCGTCACAAAGGAGAGTCCCCGAGTGTCCTCTCTGGAGCGGACTCGGAGCGAAATCGGAGCACGTGCTCTCGTTCCGCGCGATCGCTCATGCACGCAAAAAAATGACTTAGGAATATCAGCTAAATTGCAGTAGCTGCTTTGTATTTAGTTAAAAGGCTAAGTGTTTTGCTGCCATTGCTAAAAGTTGGTGACTATAGATAAAATTCAATCACTGCGAGATACAACTTTATTAGTTGAAAAAATAGCGCACTTTCGCACTAGCAGCTAAGAAAGTAGCAGTTACTGCGAAACATATTACGCGCGCGAGCACCAGCCTACGAGTAGTTCGCCGGCCGCCGCTAGGCCGCGCATGGTGGAGGGCGAAAAACTAGGAAGTAAAATTCAGTCTCGTACGGTATATAAGGAAGCCGCGTGGAAGCCGGAAAAAGAATTCCAGTGGAGATAACTGGATTACGAGACTGAATTTTACTTCCTGCGCGTGTCGCGCGGTGCTGGATTTTGCCAATATGTGCCGGATCACGTATTACGACCGCCACAGTGTGTATGTATGTATATATGTAAATGTAGTTAATACTGCATTGCTGCCTTTACAAAATTAATTGTTATAGCAGCTAAGGTCACTTAGCACCACCACCAAGCACATGCAATTTTGGCTAATATTCTTAGCATCACTGCAAGTATTTTACGTACTGTTGCTAAAGCTAAATGGCTGAATATATACAGCTAAATATTACTTGTTTCTAACAGCTAATATTTTTTGCTGCAATATCTAAATTCAAAGAGCTAATAAATTGAGGTGTGGCAGCAACAACATTAGCTGTCCCTATTTCAAAGACACATTTTAGCTGTCACTGCTAAATTTTAGCTCCTTTGGCTAATCTTTTTTTTGCGTGTGCGCAGTCGTAGCGCTTTGTCGCTGCTCGCGAACAGCAGGCAGCGCGGTCAGCTATACGGCGCGGTGCGCCTGCGCCCCGTATTCTACAGTAGTGTAATAAGAATCGCCGTAGAGCTTCTATTAGCTCTCGCCTAGTTGGCAACGTATCCTGGAATTGTTTCTTTAACGCTAATTTAAACGTCTGTATAAATCTTTCGGCTTGTCCATTCGTCGCTGGGTGAAAAGGTGCCGAAGTCTTATGTATAATACCGTTTCTCTTTAAGAATTGCGCAAATTCGTATGATTTGAAGTGTCGTCCATTATAGGAGACTATTATCTCGGGTATTCCAAAAGTTGCAAAGATTTGCTTACACTTTTGGATTACTGATTGCGTGGTCATATCTTTAGTTACATGTACTTCTGGCCACTTAGAAAACGCGTCGACAAGAACGAAAAAGTACTGACCTTTGAAAGGTCCCGCGAAATCTATGTGTACACGCTGGAACGGCCGTTCGGCTTCCTCCCAGCTTTGTCCTTCAACTTTCGTTGGTTCCTTACGTACTGCGTTGCAACTTGCGCAATTCCTCACAACCGTTTCTAAATCGTGATCTATACCGGGCCACCAGCAATATCTTCGGGCAATTGACTTGATTTTTACTATTCCAGGGTGATCGCTATGTAATTCTCGTAGTATAGCGCTTCGTAATTTCTTAGGTATAACTACGCGTTTGTCGCGCAAGATAACTCCTTGTTGACAACTAAATTCTGTTTGTGGTATATTGAACCTATCTTCTGCCTTTAATGTAGTGCTATGTTGTAAACCTTGTAATAGGTTTCGTAATCCAATATCCCTCGCGGTTTCTAACATTAAATCTTTAAATGTAATTGGTAACAACTCGATCATCTTTATTTCGTAATCGTCCACCACGTCGCGAGTGTATGTATCTTCCGGTTTCATCGGCAGCCGCGACAGAGCATCCGCGTTCGCATGCGATTTCATATCTTTGTACTTGATATCGTATTTGAAACCTTGTAAAAAAATCGCGTAGTGTTGCATGCGCATTGCGCTGTGTGCCGGTAATCCCTTCTCGGGGGCGAAAATTTGTGTTAGGGGTCGATGATCTGTATACAGGGTGAACTTACTCCCGTAAAGGTATTGATGGAACTTTTTTATTGCAAATATAATCGCGTATGCTTCTTTGTCTACTTGTGCGTATTTCCTTTGTGTCTGTGATAAAGACTGCGAGGCGTATTGAATTACTCTTTCGTTCCCCTCCAGATATTGTTGCGACAGCACTGCTCCTACGCCGTACGAACTAGCGTCACAAGCCACTATTAGGGATAGTTTTGAGTTGTAATGCGCTAAGATCTCGTTATTAGTAAATGCTTTCTTTGCTGCTATAAATGCTGTTTCACAAGCTGAAGACCATACGAAAGGCACCTCTTTCCCTGCTTTCTTCTCCAACAGTTTATGTAATGGGGTCAAAATCGAACTTAGATTGCGTATAAAACGCCCGTATTAATTGATCATTCCAAGGAATGCGCATAATTCTGTAATGTTTGTGGGCCGAGGCATTCTTTCGATGGCTTCCATCTTTTTCTTTTCTTTATATATACTGTTTTTGTTAATGTAGTATCCACAATAATGTATGCCGTCTTTCATGAATTCGCTCTCCTCGCTATTTATTTTAATATTGTATTTGCCTAACCGTGTCAGAACCTCCTCAAGTCGTTGAAGATGTACCCTATCGTTAGGCCCTGTAATTCTTATGTCATCTAAAAGAATTGAAATTCCCTGTATTCCTTGTAGGATATTCTAAATTTCTCGCTGCCATATTGCTGGAGCGGATGCGATACCGTACATTAAGCGCGTACTTTTGTATAATCCCCTATGGGTGCTAAAAGTTAGCATTTCCCTATCTGATGGATGTATTTCCATCTGTAAGTATGCTTGCTTCAAATCAATTTTTGAAAATTTTTCACCTCCCGCTAACGTACTAAATAGTTCATCGATAGTGGGCAGGGGGTGCTCATCGACAACTAAATGTTTGTTCAACGTGACACTAAAATCACCGCATAACCGTATTGTGTTATTTCTTTTTAGTACTGGCACCACTGGGGTTGCCCAAGTTGATGTATTAACTTTTTCTAATGTGCCCGTTGTAATCAATTTATCGATTTCCTTATCAACTAAAGGCATCAAATTAAATGGCATTTTTCGTGATTTTAGAAAAATAGGAGATGTATTCTTCTTTAATGTGAGTCTGGCCTGTATCTCCCGTATCTTGGCAGACGTCGGATCTAAAGCTGCTTCGTATTTTTGTAGGATTGTTTGTAATTCTCTTTCTGTACTTAGTGACAATGCAAGCAGAGAATCTAATAATTGGACATTAAGTTGTCGTATCCATTCCCGGCCCATTAACGGTTCTTTACGTGTTTTTGAAACGTATATGTTCAACGTCTTTGTCACTTGTCTGTATCGAACATTTACCCGCGCGTAACCGATAACTGTAATTACTGTTTTGCAATATGTGACTAATTGTAAATCTGATTTCATAAGTTGTATGTTTGGCAACAGCGATTGGAGGAAGTCCTGACTGACAACTGTGACCGCGGCTCCGCTATCTACTTCGAAACTCACCTTTCTATTATTTATCCATAGCATAGTGTAAAACTTTTCTCTGTACTTGGTTTGTTCACCCTGGATTTGTAAGATTTCGTCTAATTGGTTAGTTTGCTCCTTTTCCTTTTTCATGCAAACTTTTTGCAGGTGGCCCTTTATGCCGCAATGTCTACAGTCTACATTCTTACTTAATGTACGAGTACACTTAGGTGCTAAGTGATTGCCGCCGCATCTGAAACAAACAGTATTATTATTGCTAGTTTTGGAATTCGAATTCGGACGTTTGTATTTCGCGTTCGATGGTTTCTTATTCCCCGTTGTTTTCCCTTTCTTCGGAGTGGTCGCTACTTTAGAGTTTACGTAGTCCACCGCTGCAGTCCCCGATTGAAGTTGGGTCACATCCTTATCCGTGAGCTCCATGGCTGTAGCTACCTCCAGTGCTTTTTTGAACGTCAAATCTTTAGTCTCCAATAGGCATGCCTGTATGCGTCTGCTTTGGAGGCCGAAGACCATTTGATTCCTCAGCGCCTTGGATAGGTATTCTCCGAAGTTACAATTTATGCTGAGTTTTTGTAGCGTAGCTACAAATTGTTGTACACTCTCGCCTTCACTTGTTTTCTTAGATGGAAACGAAAATTTTCAGCGATTTCTAAGGGTGCTGGCGCGTAATAATCGCCCAGAGCGGTCCTGAGGATATCGTACGCTTGTTCGTACGGATCCTTCGGAGCGAGATTAGATTCGACCGATCTCCGCTTCGTCCTTCGAAGCAATTAGTACGTCGTCCACGTACACAGCGATCAGTACGATCTTCTCCCCCTGACCGATTCGATACAGGCATGGATCGGCGTTGGTGGCGGTAGCCCCGTACCTCTTGAGCACTCCATCGAACGTGAGGTACCAATTTCGTCCTGCCTGCCGTAATCCATATAAAGCCTTCCTTAACTTGCAGACTTTATCTCCTCCACCAAAGTCTAGCAGCATCTTCTGTGCCAGTTGCAGGATTCGTTGGTCTGTTTCCGAGTCAACGATGGCTTCCAACAATGTCTTCAGCTCCTTGGGGGGTCTCATCAGAACGTCCTCTTCTATGTGTCCGTTTAGGTACGCGGTTGCGACATCCAGTTGATGTATCCTCATTCCATACCGCGCGGCCAGGCTGACCATCAATCGAATTGATTCCAGTCGCACTACAGGGGCAAATGTTTCATTAAAATGAATTCCTGGCTTCTGATCGTAACCCTGAGCCACCAATCTAGCCTTGCGATGTTCGATTGTTCCATCCGGGTTTACTTTGTTCCAAAGTACCATCCGGCTCCCAATAACCAATCGATCACCCGGTGGGTCTATCAGCTCCCAGGTCTCGTTCCTGATTATTAATCTTAGTTCCTCGATCATTGCCAATTTCCAGTCCTTGGCTTCCGGACTTGACATCGCCTCCTTCATTGGGATTGCCAATAATTGTGCCATTGGTTCTGCTGTCAATTCGGCTCCTTCAGAGTAATGATGGTATTCCTTCCGAGGTCTCTCCCTACTCCCAGACCTAATGATTTTGGGTCTTCCTGGGGCTCGACGACGAGTCTCGTTCTCTTGTTCGTCCGCGACTGGATCGATGACTTCCTGAGGACAAATCTCGTTGTCTTCCTCTGCTGTTTCGTATGGATCGTCGGGCGTCTCGGTAGCATCCTCAGTGACGGTGTTTTCCGGTGTGTGCTTCACCCCTAGTAAAAATTTCCATTACAAACAGTCAGAAACAGATAGAACTTGTATACGACATCTAACAGCTTCTAACGGAATACTGTCTGATCTAACTGCAAGCTTCATGAGAAGATTCAATTCCTATCCGTTTCTATAAGCAGCACTGTTGTATCTGCAAATGCAGACAGAAAATGTAACAGCGTATATCTGCATCTAATGGAAATATATCGGCATATCAGTATCTATAAGCTTTTGCAATAGAAAATCATGTTGGTTTCCGTCCGCATCTTGTACGCATCGGAAGCTGTCGGTATCTATCCGCAATTGCGGATACTGTATCTATCTGCGTCTGTATGCAAATGTCGACCGGTAGAAATCTGGCTGCAATTACGGATACGAGTCCTGTCGGTTTCTGTTCGCATCTTGTACACGCACCGGCATAAATGCTGTCCCTATCCTTGTGAGGTGCACGCACACAACTACAGGGACTCTAGTTGTATGCGTGCACCTCACAAGGATAGGGACAGCATTTATGCCGGTGCGTGTACGCATCGGATGCTGACGGTATCTATCCGCAATTGCGGATACCGTATCCATCTGCGTCTGTATGCAAATGTCGACCTCTAGGAATCTTTTTGCAATTATTGATACGATTCGTATCGGTTTCTGTCTGCATCCTGTACTTACTCGTTGCAATCGATACGTAGACGTAATTGCTGATAGAAAATCGCATTGCCTATGTACGTATTGAATTTGTCTAAAATTACAAATAACAAGTGCAACTGTACCCAGTTATTAAAGGTTACTCAGCACTATATATTTTCAAAACTATAGTCTATTTCTGATAAGTGTGGTAATTTTTAAGAATAAATAAAGCATTTTTGTATAATTTTTATGTTCATATACATATAATATAGACAATATGCGTTCAGGGACAACTCAAATATGAATCACGAGACACGGTAGTGTCTCACGTCAAGTATAAGCTAGCTAGAACCGCGCGCGCGACACCTGCTCCGTGTAAGTTTACGCGAGTATGCGAGTTGACGGGCCCTCAGATTTTCGGTTCTCAACAACGGCTGATCCGACGAACTTCTAATTGCACTCAATCGATAGATTGGGTTCGATTTGTCTTCCGTAAGAAACTGATAGGATACGTATATGCATTTGCAGTAAGTAACGGATAGAACGGACGTCACCGTTATGAATAAATGCAGATAGATATATCCTGTCTGGTTCCGCAGTTAGATGCGGATAGACATTCAAAACTGACTGCGTATAGGAACGGATAGGATTCCTAATTATGTCTGCACATAGATTCGGATAAGTTCCATTCCATTAGGAATCAGTTACATGCAGTTAGCCTTTCCCTACCGTTTTTACGTATATAATCTTATAGGATCTGCAACATTTTTCATCTGCTTCTATCCGTAATTGCAGGGCCAAAAACGCATAGTAGAGCAGTCAGAAACGGATAGAACGTGAATTCTATCCGTTTCTAACGGAATTTTTACCAGGGGCGGTATCGTGGCAATCGGCGGTGACAATTTGATTAGCCGATTCTTCGACGACATACAGACCATTAATTTTGTTCGCAACTAATCTCACGTTCCTCTTCTGATCGACCACGACAGCCTTCTTTTCGTCGAATATCACTTCGAATCCGTGTTCTGTGATTTTGCCCACGGAGAGTAAAGCCCGCTGCAGACGATGCTATTTTTCCTGCTGGATTGCTTGCGATTTACTAAATTACTAGGAATCCTGAGTGCTGAATGGTGCAACGATAGTAATTTATTAGATTGCAAGCAATCCAGCAGGAAAAATAGCATCGTCTGCAGCGGGCTTAAATTCATGCGCAGGTCGGGGACATACAGCGAATTTTCCAGGGAAATTTGTCTGTCCTTTCCTTCCACGTTCGCGTTGAGGCGTGCCGTGCCTTCCACCTTGATCCGAGTTGACTCCCTGTTCGCAAGGTTCAATTTTCCATCTCTTGCAGTCAAGTTGGCTTCGAAACTACGTGTTTCGCGAGAAAAATGGGATGTCGCCCCGCTGTCGAGGCACCACTTGTTTGAAACGTCGGATCCGGTGAGGTAAGCGTTAGACGTGAACATGGTCGTGTCCGTCGCGTTCTGCATGGTGTTCTGATCTCCTTTCTTGTTTTTGCAATCAGCGACTTTGTGTCCAACGACCTTACATTTGTGGCATTTGTATTTAAACGTACCGTTGTCGTTTGAATTTCCGCTCGGGTTTTTCGGTTTCTTCTGTGGTCTCTTGCCGTATTTTCCCGCGAACATCGCATTTGACGCGGAGTCTCGCGTAATGCCCTTTCGCGTGTCCGCCTCTTCCGTGATTTTAACGCGAAGCACTCCCAGGGACGGTAACGCATCTCGTGACTCGATTGCGCATCGGAAGTTATCGAAATCACTAGGAAGGCTAATCATTAACAGTGTCGATAGCAAGTCTTGATCGATTTCGACGCCTATTTCGCCGATCTTGTCCACAATGTCATAGAACTGACGAAGATGCTCGCGTGCGTCGCCACCGCTCTGCATTTTCAGCGTCGTCAGTTGTCTCAAGAGGGCTGCCTTTCGCGCCGGTCCTTTAGACTGATACAGGCTTTCGAGCTTCAGCCATACTTCACGGGACGTGGCGCACCCTTTGACCTGCTTTAATTCACTAGCACTGATCGAGAGTATGATGTCCGAGCGTGCCTTCGCATCTCCTTGTTCCCACACCTTTACTGCGTTGACCGATGCCTCGTTTCCGGTAAGGGTTTCAGGCTTCACGCTCGTTCCGTTCACGTATTGCCACATGTCATTTTTGATCAATAGTGCTTCCATGAACATCTTCCATGTATCGTAGTTCTCCTTATTCAGGGTCTCGATATTCCTCACCTGAGCCATGTCGATTCTGGTTAGCAATGGCGTCGCAACGAAAGTAGAAGGTACAGATAGCGATCACACTCGCCTCCTCCTGGGCTCATAACCTGTTGAGAATCGCGCGGGAGATCGATATCGTCTTCTCAGCGGTGACACGAAGGGATAGAAAAGGATAGCTACGCACACAGCACAGTACGGTGTATGAAAATATATATTTCCTGAACAACGTGTATACAAGCGAAAGGCTTCAAGAAGACTGAGCTCATGATTCATGAAGGGGGGTAAATCAGATAGTCCACGGAGGAATAGAAATCGGTTCCGCGATCGTGGCTCCGCCGTCGAATACGAGACGGAATATAGATGGCCTCTATTATTCGGATTGTGACAATCCCAACAAAGTAAAACATATATCAACAACAAAAATATATCAAAGAAAATAAACATGAAAATTAAAAAATAAATATATCAAATCCATTAAAATTAAAGAAATAAATATATAATTTTATCAATAATTTTTTATTTTTTCAGAAAATTAGAATATTATGTAAATAATAATATGATCAATGACAATATTTAATATTGAGTAATAATATTAATAATAATTAGATTAAATTTGAAAATTTTACAATTACAGAAACGAATATAAATTAGATGTAAATTTTACGTACACACATTGATTCAAGAGAAAAATAACAAAATAAAGAAATCAAAGTAATCTTAAATTAAATTAATAAAAATTGAATTTTTTTCTATTTTAAATTATGATCACAATTCCATCTTCCAATTGTTACCTGAAATAAAGTATGGGGAAATTGATACTGTATACAATTTAAAATATATCTACATGTATATATATGTATATAAATTTATGGTAAAACTTTACAAACACGGACCCAGCCCCAATGACCTT